GTCATTCCGTCACAGCAAATAGATGTTAATAACTGCTAGCCAACCTGAGGTTAATTTTCCAAATTCACATTTTACATTGCTTACACATTATACTAAAAGTATAAAATAGTTCAGAAAAATAATAGCTGCAAAATTCGCAGAAACTACCAGTTCTAAGCGGCATGCCAAAAGCTTGGTTGCCAAAATGTCATTCCGACACACAAATAAAAAGTTGGTAAAATTAAAAGTAAAAAAGATAGAAAATCCTGTTTTTTTGTTTATGAAGCGCATTATGCCAATAATAATGATATGCATGAGAAAAAAAAATTTTTTTATTTGAAATTAGATACGTAGAAACTTCAATTAATTGTTATTTTGCAAGTCAAAATGTCATTCCGTCACATATGGAATTGCCCAGGGGACTTTTTAATGGAACTAACCCACATTTGCGATACATAGAAAGGAGTCACAGAAACATCCCATGGTTAGCTCAATTGTAAAGGGATTTAAACACATAACTCGTCAAACACTATTAACACTATTTTATGTTAACACTGTGGTCTGTTCAAGCTGGGAGCAGAATCTGTATCAGCCAGCCACTGTTGGGATTCGAACCTAGTGAAACTTAATTGGGAGGTGAACGCTGCAACCCATGAGCCATCACGGCTCAGCGTTTCACTAATTCTATATTTTCAAATATTCGGGGTCTTATTAAGTTCAAAATTTAAAAATTTGCGTTAAAGGAGCCAGGATTATTTTTTATTAGATTTACACCTTACAAGGATGCCAACTGCTCTGCCTTTTAATTATTAAAAACAGTCTCAAATTTATTAAAACTGGTTACTGTACTAAAATATAAATTCCAAAAAAAGAATGTTTGAAAAAAATTACTTTCATTTTCAAAAATTTCACATTAATTGATTTTTAAATTAAAGAAATTTTAATAATTAATAACTGTTTCTCTTATATATAAATAGCTGAAAATTTGAAGATCCGATCATTAGATCGAAAATTATTCTGGGTGGTCTGTATTTTTGTTTTTCGCACTATACTTTATTTCTTGGAGGATATAAAAAAGCACTGATCACTTAAATCACAAATATTTGATAACTTCCAAGCATTTTTTAAATTAAGTATTCCCTGTCGAGAAAAGCATAGAGTTTAAAAGTTAAAAGAACAAATTCATAAAAATTGCTTCAAAATTTAAAAAAAAAAAAAAAAAATTTTCATGTAAACGTGAATTAAAACTTCTTAATAACTCCTCATTTTAACCAAACCAATTTTTTTTTTATTCAAAATCATTTTGAATGTTGGTGAAAATTATTAGGAGGACAGGAAAGTAATATCGTTTCGACGCATTAAATATTCGTTAGTCTTAAAAACCAATTCATTTTTCTCCCGATCCATTTTCGATCCGGTATTGTAAGGTTGTTGCTACGAGGGTGAATACATTATTGATTAAAAATAAAATCTTGATTACAAATATCAAATGCACCGAAACGACATTACTTTCCGGTCCTTTTTATAAATTCTACTGTTAAGTTTGTCTTCTAAAAGTAGTGACTACAATTCGAACAAACTTTTAGTAGCTACATTTCCTTAAAAAAAAAAAGTCGTTGTAGTTAATTACAATTGTAAAAAATTAGTTGAAGTTAACTGGAAAGAAAATATAGTTTTCTGACCACTGGGCAGGACATTAGGTTCTTAAGTATCCACAGTAAATAGCATTAATAGCATTAATTTCAAATTAAAATTTTGAAATGTTGGAGTCAAAAGAGGTTAAAATAAAATCAAACAAAACCGATATTTGTATTATTATAGGTTTTATTGTAGTACTTACTTCCTAAACTTTCTATAAACACTGCCAATAAATAAAATAACAATTTTAAAAAAATTCACTTTCTTTGTCACGCCGTGAGAAAAACGACAGTAAATGATACAGCTGGAAAGCATCCTTAAACAATGATCCATAAAACGATAAGCAAGGGACAGATGACAAAAAAAGAGAAACTTTAAGCTCAAAATGGCTCATTCTTTCATTTAAGATAGAAAACAATAAAATAAAACTTTCGCTGTTTTGTTTTCGTGCTATTGACCTCCGATTATACAACTATAAGATGCAGTTTCTTTATAACATAACGCAGAAGAACATATAGATCCAAACTTGTAAAAGACATATTTCTATGCAGGAAAAAGTGTTCATATGATTCTGCAAAAGCTCGTCGTGACCCTATTTTTTAAGGCATAGCTCTAATTGCGATTTAAGAAACTTATCATGGCGAAATCTGTTTCACCTAAACTGATAATTTAAAATTTAGAGATGTGTGAGTTTAGGCAAAAACCTAGAATAAGAACCGTGGTGGATCAGGCGATAAACACTCGCCCCGCAATTAAGTAACCGGAGTTGGAATCCCAAGTACGGCTGATCGATACGAATTCCGCACCCGATTGACACCGACCACAGTGCTAACATAAAATATCATCAGTAGAAAACGGATCATGGGTTATAGTTCACTTACCGTCAGACAAACGATGGGAGGTTTTCCGTTGTTTTCCTCTCCATGTTAAGCAAATGCGGATTTGTTCCATCAAAAAGTGCTCGAGGGCAAATTTCTCCCTATACTTGATTCATGAGTTACCTTGTCTTTTGGATTGGGTTCAAAATTACAAGCTATGAAGTTGAAAAATCCCTTACAAAAACTAAGGTGTTTTTGTAGTAAAGATGTGGAATAAGATGTAAAAAAATACACCTGAGGCAGAAAATGAGGCTATGCTTTGCATCAAACATAACCTCATTAGAAAACCTTAATTTCAACCTCATTTACACCTCACAAAATCAACCTCATATATAATTTTATGAATAGAAAATAAATATTTTTATGAGTATGAGTTATGAGTATGAATATGAATAGAAAATAAATATTCAGAAATAATTTTAGTTTCGATCGGGTGAAATTATTCACACCTCAAATATAAGTATTTGCTTGAAATGTTGAAAAAATAAACCGTACACCTCAAAAATGGTTGCGATGAAGTAGATTTCTATCAACTTCATACAGCTTGATTATACACCTTGGGAAGTTGATTTTTTAAGTTTGTTTTTGAAATCAACTTCGAATAAACCTTAAATCAACCTTGACACCTCAAACCAACCTCATATAAACCTCAAAATTACCTTAAATTTTTGTAAGGGGTAGTACGATGCAGGTCTCGAAAAAACTCATGAAGACAAATTTTACCCGTCCCCGAGGACGGATTGTCCAACAATGTACCCGTCCTCATTTGAAGCTAACCCGTAGCTTCTAAATAAATAAAAATATAATTTTCTCTTATTTATTACAAACATTTATATAAATTGCACAATGAATTAGTAGTTACTAGGATTACAAATACTAGGATTACATTATATAGTAATAAAAGAAATACTAGGTTACTAATAGGAACCTAGTATGTATTTCTTTTATGAAATAATTTAAGTGACAAGGGTCAAGTTATCTGGAATGTCAATTTATTCGAGGGTACTGCGTTTTTTAAATGAATCAAATATGACGTTTGCCAGCTCCACAATTAAGCCAATGATTTACATAGGTTTCTGCACAGAAATCTGAAAGGGGCTTTCCATTTAGGTAGATGTTTATAATTACGTTTAGCGCTTCTTGATTAAAACCAGTAAGTAATGTGTTTTTTTTATGAGTTCATTGCTGAAAAGCCCCTTTCAACCGCTGCAGTACTCCCAGTCAGAGAAAACATCAATTCCACCATGCGCAGTATGTTGCTGTATTTCTAGATTAGAGAGTCATTTTAGAAGAGAAGCGCTAGACTCTTGTAAGATAACAAAAATTGAAAATGTATCACGAACATTAACGGGAAAATGGCCGTCCGCGCGGACGTCGGATTCGAGAAATTCGTTGTATGATAAACCCGAAGCGTTTCTGAATCTATGGGGCAGCTACGGTATATGTGGTTTTCAAAAACCGTTTCTGAATATACCGCAAAACCTCTTTCTGTAACATTCTGAAACATTTCGCAGTACTTCAGAAATATTTTTAACCACTTTCTTGCAGTTTCGTTTTTTTATCTTGATGCTTTGAAGCTTTTCCTATTAACGTATAGTAATATTTCGGACTCCTCTTGTTGGTCTAGGCTACCAACAATGTCACCCGTCTTTAATCATAGGGTTTCTCGAGACAGATTTGAATCCTAGTAGTGGTTGCATTTCAAAATGTAGAGAAAACATGAAACAAGTTACAGAATAATAATAAAAGAGTAAAAAAAATTATTTTTAAAAAATTATAAAAATCCAGAAAAAAAAAAGATATAATCTCTTCATCAGCTCACACGATTATATTCGCAAAAAGGAGTGCTTTCTTATATTGTATCAATATAGCCAAAGCAAAATGTATCAATACAATAGTGAGAGGAGCACTATAAAAATTTTTTTTTAAATAAAATAAAATAGAACACATTATATAATAAATATCAAGCAAAATTCAGAAAATAAAATCTAAAGAAAAAGCAGAACGGAACTTAA